AACTGTCTCAATGTTTTTTTTTATTGTCTAAATAGTCAAGAATTAAGACCATTCTAATGCCCCCTTTCGCCATGCATAAACTGAACCAACAATTAGGATAAGCACGAATATGAAAGCTTCTATAAATACGGATACTCCTAATACATCGAAACTCATTGCCCATGGATAAAGAAAAACTGTTTCAACATCAAAAACAACAAAAACGAGAGCAAACATATAATAACGGATTCGAAATTGTAACCAGGAATCGCCTATTGGTTCTATTCCCGATTCATAACTAGAAAGTTTCTCTGGTCTTTTGCTAATCGGGGCTAAAATTCCAGAAATTAGAAATGCCAAAATAGGAATAAAGCTTGATATTATTAGAAATGCCCAAAAAATATCATATTCGTAAAGCAGAAACATAAATGACTCCTATGAATGTGGAAAATATACTGGGTTAGTATTAATTATTAGTCGATTTGAATGAAAATTGGAGAATGATTATTCTATTAATGATTATTATAGTAATGAATATTTATAGAATAATAAATATGAAATATATTCTAAATAGAAATGCTTTTTCTAAAATAAATAAAAAAAAATTAAATTATTTCCAAAAAAAATGAGACTAGTATTCGAATATACTAATATTAGTATTATTTTATCAAATATTAATATATTCTTAATAGAAATTTAAGAATTCTTTCTATTCTATTACTAATACTACTAGTAATATTTAGTAATAGTATTAGTAATGAGAGATATTGGATACTAAATATTATTAGTATCCGTAGAAATATTAGGGCTATACGGACTCGAACCGTAGACCTTCTCGGTAAAACAGATCAAACTGATTATTATCGAAATGATTTGAATTGTTTTAAAAACCCAACGTGCATTTTTTTCTTGCATTGGGCTTTTTCATTAACTGATAGAAATAACAGTTAGTCCACTATCTTTTTTCTTGACAGAAAGAATAAAGATATGATTCCTTGTGCTCTGATTTTTGATTTGGATTACAATCTAAGAGCACTACCAAAGTGTTTCAAAGAAGGGTTATCCTGACATAGGTCTGCTTCTAGCCTAGATCAACTTAAGTTAAATGGATTCTCTATCTACCCACTAAAATGAAAATATCAAATAGGAAATGAAACTTCATACACCTTAAAGTTCATAAGATAGGAACAAAGGATAATTTTATTTGAGGTTCCTATACCCATTATGCTTAGCATTGAAGAGGAGTGAGTATTGACCTTATCAATATCTCAAATCAATAATGGATTCTATTTTACGTCTAAATCCTTTGTCAGGCTTTTGTTCTCTTGTTCCTTAAAATGGAGTAAGACATGGATTTATTAATAATAAGATAAACTCTTTTGATTACAAGACGGACTCCTCTGAAAAAAAACATTGGCGCGCGTGTAAACGAGGTGCTCTACCTAACTGAGCTATAGCCCTTGTGCTTTTAATACATATTTTATCATATTATGTAGATAATTTCTTGTCAAGATGAATATTACATGATCCAATCCCTTTGATATTGCGTTGGTATTGCTTATAAGTAATATTCGATTTATAATCTATTGATCTGATCGATAGAGACTCTTTTTTTTTTTTTCTATTTGGGGTGATAAATGACCTACTTAACTCAGTGGTTAGAGTATTGCTTTCATACGGCGGGAGTCATTGGTTCAAATCCAATAGTAGGTAAGGTATAGTTAGAACTTATTAGATACCAGAGTCAATGGTATCTAATAAGTTGTTCTATTCACCTTTTTTCTATCTTTTCTTACTGTTTTATTGAATTTTTATTTATTTCTTTTTTTAGAATTATTCGGACGTACCAACTTGTTACGAAATCATATTGATAGCCTCTACTCGTGTTCTAGCTCGTCTGAGAGCTAGATTTGCCTCAATTGTTTGTCTCTTGCCTTCAGCCTTATTCAAATTAGCTTCTGCTATTTCAAGAGTTTGCTGTGCTTCTTGTGGATCAATGTCACTACCCTTCTCCGCATCATTTACTAAGACAGTGATCTCATTATTGCCTATTCTAGCAAAACCGCCCATGAGAGCCATCGTTAACCATTGGTCGTTAAGGCGTATTCTCAAAATACCTATATCTACAGCTGTGGCAATAGGCGCATGATTTGGTAATACTCCAATTTGTCCGCTATTCGTAGATAAAATGATTTCCTTCACTTCTGAATCCCAAACAATTCGATTGGGGGTCAGTACACAAAGATTTAAAGTCATTTCTTCAATTTGCTCTCCATTTCTAAATTCACAGCCTTCGCAGTAGCTTCATCGATATTACCCACTAAATAAAAGGCTTGTTCAGGAAGACCATCTAATTCTCCAGAAAGAATCAATTTAAACCCTCTAATTGTTTCTGCTAGACCAACATATTTCCCCGGCGAACCGGTAAATACTTCTGCTACGAAAAAGGGCTGTGATAAGAAACGTTCAATTTTTCGTGCTCTTGCTACGGTTAAACGATCCTCCTCGGATAATTCATCCAACCCAAGGATAGCTATAATGTCCTGAAGTTCTTTGTAACGTTGTAAAGTTTGTTTAACTCTTTGTGCAGTTTCATAATGTTCTTCACCAACGATCCGAGGTTGGAGCATAGTTGACGTTGAATCTAAAGGATCCACTGCTGGATAGATACCTTTGGCCGCTAATCCTCTTGATAGTACAGTAGTAGCATCTAAATGTGCAAATGTCGTGGCAGGAGCAGGATCGGTCAAATCGTCTGCAGGTACATAAACTGCTTGAATAGAAGTTATGGACCCTTCTTTGGTAGAAGTAATTCTTTCTTGTAAAGAACCCATTTCAGTACTAAGGGTGGGTTGATAACCCACAGCAGAGGGCATTCGACCCAATAAGGCAGATACTTCAGATCCTGCTTGGACGAAGCGGAAGATATTGTCAATAAATAGAAGTACGTCTTGCTCATTGACATCTCGAAAATATTCCGCCATAGTTAGGGCAGTTAAACCAACTCTCATACGAGCTCCGGGCGGTTCGTTCATTTGACCGTATACTAGAGCTACTTTTGATTCTGCAATATTTTGTTCATTAATTACTCCGGATTCTTTCATTTCCATGTAAAGATCATTTCCCTCACGAGTACGCTCACCTACTCCGCCAAATACGGATACACCTCCATGAGCTTTGGCAATGTTATTGATCAATTCCATAATGAGTACCGTTTTACCTACACCAGCTCCACCGAAAAGTCCTATTTTTCCTCCACGGCGATAAGGGGCTAAAAGATCTACTACTTTTATTCCTGTTTCAAAAATGGATAATTTTGTATCTAATTGTATAAAGGCAGGCGCAGATCTATGAATAGGAGATGTTGTGCGAGTATCTACAGGACCCAAATTATCAATAGGCTCCCCAAGTACGTTGAAAATTCGTCCTAGAGTTGCTCCGCCGACTGGAACACTTAGAGGAGCTCCCGTGTCAATCACTTCCATTCCTCTCATTAGACCATCTGTAGCACTCATAGCTACAGCTCTAACTCGATTATTTCCTAATAATTGTTGTACTTCACAAGTCACGTTAATTTGTTGACCAACAGTATCTCGACCCTTAACTACCAGAGCGTTGTAAATATTAGGCATCTTCCCTGGGGGAAAAGCTACATCTAGTACTGGACCAATTATTTGGGCGATACGTCCCAGATTTTTTTTTTCAAGCGCAGAAACTTCAGGACTAGAAGTAGTAGGATTTATTCTCATATAAAAATATATCCATTTTTTTTTCGAATAATTTTGAAATCAAAAATAAATGTTCAATAACAAAGCAAGTTGATCGGTTAATTCAATAATAAATAAGAAATGGGAGTTAGTACTCTATTTTCTTGGTACCATCCAACCAATCCAATTTAATTGTTTACTTATTCAATTTCAATATTCAATTTCAATGATTGAATTTTCTAGTTTACCCAAGTCATTTTGAAAATTTCAATTGGATCAAATCTTTTGAAAGTCTTTCATTTGTCTATAATGATAGACAATACCATCTATATTCTCTATCGAATTCGAACCTGAACTCTCTTTACGATTCATTTTTTCTATCTCATTGGCTTTCCTTCCTATTTCATCAGCAGACGATTTATACCTAGCATATTTTTTTACCTATTTATTTCCCCCTTTTCGAGGGGGAAGTCTGTCTATTTTTACATCTAGGATTTACATATACAACATATATCACTGTCAAGGTCAAGAGTGAATTTTATATTATTTAGATTAGGTATTTCGATTCAAAAATAAAAACAAATAATAAAAAAAGGGATAAGAGATTCGAAATTTGAAAAAAAAAAAACAAGGATTGGGTTGCGCTATACATATGAAAGAGTATACAATAATGATGTATTTGACAAATCAAATACCATGGTTTAATAACGAACTTTTCGGATTAATTGATAATATTTGTTGATTATTTGTGAAAGATTCTTGTGAAGTGAAATATTTTATTAACTCCTAAGTCATGTCGAGTAGACCTTGTTGTTTCGAGAATTCTTAATTCATGAGTTGTAGGGAGGGATTTATGTCACCACAAACAGAGACTAAAGCAAGTGTTGGGTTCAAAGCTGGTGTTAAAGATTATAAATTGAATTATTATACTCCTGACTATGAAACCAAAGATACTGATATCTTGGCAGCATTCCGAGTAACTCCTCAACCCGGAGTTCCGCCTGAAGAAGCAGGTGCCGCGGTAGCTGCCGAATCTTCTACAGGTACATGGACAACTGTGTGGACCGATGGGCTTACCAGTCTTGATCGTTACAAAGGACGATGCTACCACATCGAACCCGTTGCTGGAGAAGAAAATCAATATATTGCTTATGTAGCTTATCCCTTAGACCTTTTTGAAGAAGGTTCTGTTACTAACATGTTTACTTCCATTGTAGGTAATGTATTTGGGTTCAAGGCCCTGCGCGCTCTACGTTTGGAGGATTTGCGAATCCCTACTTCTTATATTAAAACTTTCCAAGGTCCGCCTCATGG